CATCTTAAGCAATCGGAAGATCCTTTTGGTCTTGATAGCAATCGTGTGTCTCGCAGTGAGATGCAATCATATTTGGGCGGCCGAGCGCTTGAGCCGACGCGGCCGCGGGCGCGCGCTCGCTTCCGCTCCCTGTGTCCCCCAGCTCACTCTTGAATGGACTAACTAGTAGTAATAATAATACGATTAATGGAATACTACCAGTAGTAGTAATAATAATCATATCAATAATACTACGAATAGTAATGATGATAAGAGTCATAATGATAATACGAATAATCATAATACTAACAATACTATTAATAATGATAATGGTAATAATATCAGTACTCATGATAATATATGGTAATGATGATAACGCTAACCATGGAACCGTGAAGATGATGATGATACTGATGCTCAACCATCACCAGCCACCGTGCCCAAGGGGCGCCCGAGACGGCGCAGGAGGGCCCGAGAGGGCCCCAGAACGGCCCGAGAGTGGCGCCCGAGACAGCCCGGGCCGCCCCGAGGGAGGCCCAACAAGGGGAAACCGAACCGAATATTCGAGCCCTCCGCCCCGAGATGCCATCAGGAAACCCCAAGACGCATCCAAAAGGCCCCGAGAGGCCCCCACGAACCCCCCCAAGACGCCCTCAATACGCCCTCAAAGAGCTCCAGAACGGCCCCGAGAAGCTTCGACGCTGCCTCAAAGAGGCCCCCGAAAAGCCCCCCAAGAGACCCCAACGAACATCCCAAGGCGCACTGCCCACAACCCAGGAACGGCGGCGGGGTGGGCCGGAGGCGAATAGATATGACGCACGCGCCGCCGATCGGAGAGCCCCCCGAAGAAGCGCTTCTACGCGCGGAGACTCGGCGACGCGAAGATCTCGCTCCGCTGAATCCAAAGAGCCGCCGGCGAGACGCGGCTGATGGAAGAAGCCCCCGCGAGGGCACGTCTACAGCAAGCCCCCGACAAGCCCTGCCCCTAGCAAGCCGGAGATCCATCGGCGAGGCTCGGGGAAATCAGAGAAAGAGCGCGCTGGCAAGGCAAAGTGCGCGACGTTTCTCGAGGCCAAATCTTGGCGAGCCGATCTGGCAGCACGGCAATAACTATCGCGGAGTGGCGGAACCCCCGCCGGCGCGCCGCCCCTTTCAAGGGCGCGCGAGGGCTGGTGGGGCAGAGCGACGGGCGCCCCGAAAGCCCACTGATTTGGGCGACCCAAAAGGGGCCAGCTGAACGGGGGGGCTGTAATAGATTTGGGGCACTTGGATTGCAAACGTATTGCGCCGGAGAGCTGCGTTGCATTGTATTGCCTTGCGCTGCGCTGCACTGCGCCGCATTGCATTGCAAGTAATGTATTGCACGCGAACATCCAGCAATCCATTTGCGCCCCCGTACGCGTTGCACGCCCCGAGTGCACTGCGACCCCGCAAACCTATTGCGCCAAATCTATGGCACCACCCCTTGGTCGCTGGACACCCTCCTGGGCCGCGTCGAACCGGAGGGCTTCGCCCAGCGCTGCGCCGCTGGGGGGCAAGCGGGATCCAGCGCGACAGACCCGCAGCTCTAGATTGGCCCAATCCTCCGAACCCATCCATCTGCCCTCCGCCCCCTCCCCTGGCGCCCGAGCCGTCGCGTGTCGCGCTGGGCCGCGGGCGGCCGGCAGCAAAGCAAACGCGCGCCGACGACCTCCGGTCAGCTTGGCGCCGCAAAAGAAAATCTATATGGACGGGAGGTGAGAGCGCGCTAACCCCAGAGCGCCAAATCTCAGGCTGCTCCTACGCGAAGCGACCCACGCAGTAGCATCGCTCTTCATCTTGGCGGCTGCCAGCGACTCCTTCAAGGAGAGCTTCGGGCCCCCCGCGGGCGCGGAGGCGCCTGGGCCGCTGCCCGGCACCGCCGCGGGCGCTGGGGCAGGACCCCCTGCGGGGGGAGGATCCCCTGCGGGAGGGGGAAGCGGTGGCCCACTGGCGGGAGGCCCCGCCGCTGGCTCGCCGCCGCTGGCCGCGGGCGCCTGGGTCTTCGTCTCGAACGGCGTCCCATGGCTCGAACGGCGTCTCAAGGCGAGCGCCGCCCTCCCAGCGACTCAGCTCAACGTCGATCTGGTCCGACAGCTGGACCTTTGAAGACCCCAGTTCTCTCTTCAATGCCGCGACCTGCTTCGCCGCCTCGGGCCGCGACGGCGCCTTCCCAGGCCAGGGCCTCAGGAGCTTGAAGGCGGCGCAAGTGAAGCCGGCGGGTTCGGCGCCCAAATCGCCCGCGACCACGCTGTCCTTAATGGCGCTCGCGTCGACCAGGGGCGGCGGGCTTGGATGGGCGTCGCTGCGATTGACCAGCTTCGCCTGCCTCTTGATCTCCGCGGCCAGGGGGGCAATGCAGCAGTGCTTCTCGCTCTCGCAGAGGACCTTGCACAACTCCACATTGTCCAAGAGAGTGCCCTCGGCCGCCTGCCAGTCCGGGCAAGCCCCCTCCATGGTCGCCCGCACGTCGCCGAGGTTGGAAATCCAGCAGCGGCCGAAAGCCCCCTGCGCCGCGACGAACGCGTTCTGGATGGCCTCGTTGTCGACGATCGAGTGGAAGGCCTTCGAGCGACAAGGGTCCTCGGCGTCCGCGAACAGGTCGGAGCTCCCCGCGCTGCCAACGCAAATGGCGAGGGCGTCGCACGCGGCCCTCCCGTCGCCCGCCATTTCAATCACCTCGCGCCCTCCATGTCCGCGCCAGGCTTGAACGCGACATCCGCGAAGAGCTTCGTCTTCGTCGTGCTGGCCAGGATCGACGCAGCATTGCGCAGGTAGGTGAGCTGCGAGCGCAAGGCCTTGTCCCCGGCTTCCTCCGCCCACGACAGCGCGGACGAGAGCGCCGACGACTCCGCCGAGATCGTGGGCGCGCGCTCCGACCCCCCGCAGTCGACGACGCCGACCTCGCCTTCGCCGAACACGGTCTCGAGGAAAATGACACGCGGATCTCACGCGTGGAGCGACCGAGCCTGAAACATCCCAGCGGCCTTCGCCGCGCATCCTCTGCAAGAGCGAGAAGGCAGCGGCCCCGGGGGCAGGGGGCGCCAAAGGGCGAAACAGGAGGAAGGGCGAGCGGGGGGAGGGGGTCGCGCGAAGAGGAGGAGGAGGAGGAGGAGGAGGAGGAGGAGGAGGAGGAGGAGGAGGAGGAGGAGGAGGAGGGGGAGAACCCCCCCGCCCCGCCTGGTCGGGCCCAGCTCGCTCCTCCCTCGCCGCGGATGAAAGGGGGTGCCAGTATTATGAAAGCAGTGGCCTTCTCCAGGAGGGTTTTGGAGGATTTGCTGAAAAGTGTTGTCGACAGTATCAAAACAGTCTCTGGGCCGCAACGCCCAGGAGTCTCAAGAAAGTGTCGCGGCGCGACTGTAGCGAAACCAGAACAGCGTGGGCAATCCGAAAGGATTTGGAGCTGTCAGGCCACAAGCAAAAACTGTAAACCCACCCACCCGCACATACGGGATAAAGGATGCGACGCACACCTGCCGCGCGCCGCCGAATCAGCGCGCGGCGAACCGACGAATAGACGCCGAGTGCAGAACATTACGAGACTAGACTAACCAGCAACGCGCGCATTCAAACCCACAATCGGGGCGAGTTTGGGCCAAATGGCGCTGAGCCAAAATGGCAACTGATAGGGGGATAAAAGGCTGGGGGGGGGAAGAGGAGGAGCGGCAAGGGGGGGGGGCAAGGGGAATTGCGAGGGGGAAGGGTGAGGGCGGGACGAAGGAAGGCGAGGAGGGCGATAACAGAAGGCGGACGGGCAAGAGGGGACGAGGGATGAGTATTAGAGAGGGAGATGAGGAACGGAAAGGGAAGGGTGAGGGCCAGACAAAAACGCAGGGTGGCGAACGGATTGTGCGCAGGAAGGCGGGTGGAAAAGGGGGGGCGGGAGGGAGGGGGGCAACCAGGTGCAGGGAGGAGGGGCGGGGAGGAGGGAGGAGGAGGGAGGGGGAGAGGGGGAAGGGCGGAGGGGGGGGGGGAAGGGGCAGGAGCAGGGGCAGGGAAGGGCAGGGGCAGGGGCAGAGGGAAGGGGGGAGGAAGGGCAGGGGAAGGGAGGAGGAAGGGAGGTGGTGCAGGGAAGAGGGGCAGCGGGGGAGGACTAAGCAAGAAAGGGGAGAGAGCCCTCCCAGCAGCGTGCCCCGCTCGCGGCGCCTGGCCGCTCCCACGGCCACCAACCGCCGCCAGCACGCCGACGGGCGGGGGCGGCGGCGCGGCAGGGGTGCCCCCTCCCCCCCCTTTCCCCCCCCCTCTCTCCCCTCTCTCCCCCTTCGCCCTGCCCCTTCAGCCGCACCTCCGAAACTGGCGGAGACGGGGGGGCGGACGGCGGCGAAGGCGGGGGGAGAGGGGGGGTAAGGATCGCGCGCTCTCCTTTCGAGCCCTGGCGGTCCATGCGAACCCCTGCTGGAAGATTTGGTGGAGGATATGATCTGAGGGGCGATGGGGGTAACACTAATACGGAGGAGGGCGCGGAGCCGAACGCGAGGACCAGGAGGAGGAGGAGGAGGAGGAGGTGAGGAGGAGGAGGAGGAGGCGGAGGAGGATGAGAAGGAGGAGGAGGAGGAGGAGGGGGGAGGAGAAGGAGGAGGAGGAGGAGGAGGAGGAGGAGGAGGAGGAGGGAGGAGGAGGAGGAGGAGGAGGGAGGAGGAGGAGGAGGAGGAGGAGGAGGAGGAGGAGGAAGGAGAGGGAGGAGGAGGAGGAGCCGTCTCGCCTCACTCGCCCCTCTCCTCCTCCTCGCCACATCCTCGTTTAACTTTATTTTGTTGTTTGTTCTGGAGCGCAGCACGCCAGCGACTGTTGCCTTCTCAGACTGAGCTCAGTCCGACACCACATGCGAACGTCGGCGCCAGCATCTGCCTCCTGTGAGGCTCGCGTTTCGTAGCGAGCTGACCTAGCTACAACGAGGAAGGCCTGTGCCCTGTGCGTCGAATCGCGTATCTCGTGCGACGTGTCATGTCGCATATCGTTGGGTCGATCGTCGATCGAGTTCGAGCTGAGGCCTCCCTACGTATTTATTGCACTTGAATTTGTAGCTGCATCGCCTGGTTGACGCGCTGCACCAGCGCCGGCGGCAGCCTCTCTGGCAGGACCGATTGCTCTTTGAGCTGGCCCATCAACTTAACACAGATGGCACGCAACGACTGCTTGCTCTCGGCCTTCTTAAAGGCCGCAAACAGAGAGCCTGTGACCACAGTGAGCCAACCAGCCTGTAGCTGGTCCACCGCGTCCTTGTACTCACCCTCCTCGGTGTTGAGGGGCATCCCGTACTTGGACGCCTCGTTCTTCCAGAGGGTCAAAGCCTGCGCGGCAGGCAGCGTCAGAAGCCGAGCGGACAGAGGGGTGGATGCAAGCAGCAAGGGAGAGGGATAAACTAAATGAACGTTTGGATATTGGACCCAGGCTGGGTTGAAGGACGGTGTAACACGCTGGGGAAAGTCCAGCTAGTAATCAAAACACGTCTTCCTCATCTTCCTCCTCCTCCTCCTCCTAGCCCTCCAGTCTCTTGTCGCCTCCTCCTCCTCCTCCTCCTCATCCTCCCCGCCTCCCCCTCCTCCTCCTCCTCCTCCTCCTCCTCCTCCTCCTATTTATCCTCCTCCTCCTCCTCCTCCTCTTCCTCCTCCTCCCTCCTCTGCCCATCCTCTTTAAGTGTGGAAATGCCTTGGCCAACGAGTCCAGGTCCTTCTTCATGCAACCGATGGCCTTCCCGACCGCGCTGCTCATGATGGTCCCGTCCGCGTGGTCGGAAAGCCTCTTCCACACGCCCTGGTCCTTGTCCGAAACTCCATTCAGCCACGATTCGCCATCGGGAGCTCCTCGCAGGAAGGGCTGGATCTTGGCCACGGCCGCCTGGCAGTCAGCCAGCGCCGTCCCCACTGCAAAGGAGCCGACGGTCCTCAAGATCGTGACGGCCTTCTCCCTCAAGGTGGACACTTTGTCGACCACGTAGGCGTGCAAGTCCGCGTTGGAGTCGCTCGCCTCGTGGGTGAAGGCGAACAGCTTCTCGGACAGGAAGCGTATGAGGGCAAGCTGAGGGTCCCCCAGGTCGATTTGCTCCCTCTGCAAGAACCCCTCCTCGTCGAAGATCTTGGCCGTGACCCCCTGCACCGCGGGCTCCAGCGACCGCATAGCTCCCGCGGCTTCCAGGCACGCCCGCTGCGGAGCGACGATCTCAACAGGGAGGAAGTCGTGCAGGCCGTGCGCTGCCTGGTTAGCGGCGGCAGCGATGCCCACCTCATCATCAGCAGCCGCCTTGACGATCTCGATGGAGCACGCGCCGAGAACCTCAATCAACTCATCACCCAGCTCGGCGGGGGTGACCCTCTCCAAGACCAGAGGCAAGTCCTTGCGAAGAAGCTCGCACGTCATCTTGTCGGTAAGGATCGCTTCGGACATCGCTCTCACCTGGGCCTTGATGGCGTCGCGGGCCATGGTCGCGTCGGCCTCCTCAAGGGTAGCCTTCATCTCCACGAGGTCGGCGTCGTGCGGCATGATGTCGACTGCCTTCCCCAGCAGCTGGCCGAATCCCGCGCGGTCGCCTTGCGAGAAGGTGCCGCGCTCCAAGGCTTCCGTGGCGTAGTTGGACATACTAGCGAGCACCGACTTCGTCTGGTCAATGATCTGGCGTGCGATCTCCCAGTCCAGAGAGCACGATACCTTCGGGATACACGCCAGCGTAGTTGTGACCGCAGTTGAAGCGCCAGTGAAGTTCATGGGGTCAAGCACCACGGCATTCAGTGCCATCATGGCATCGCCGACCTCCTCACTCAACTCCTGCACCATCACCCTGTTGTCCGTGAGCATCGTCCAGATCTTATTGTAGTGCTCGCATGCGCCAACGGCGATCGCAATCCCTTCGAGGCCGCTGTAGAAATCTCCGCGGCTGGTGTCGAGGGAGGCAATGGTGGCAAAATAGTTGTCGACGTCGTCCGTCGTCCACACGCTGGTCGGGTCGCACACGTTGACGACTCCGCTCACCATAAGGCCAAGTGCTTCGAGGAAGTCGGTCACCTCTGCGGTGAGTGCTGTCTCCGTGGCAAGCAGATCATCCATTGCTTTTGACATGCGATTACCAAGAAGCTTCAAACCGTTAGAGTACGCCTTGCCTTTCTCGATGTAGGCATTGAACACAGACGTGAGGAACTTCTGGGTGAAAATTGTGATCTTCTCGGAAACCTCGATCTCCACGAGGTGCAGCTTGGGCTGCTTCGGGTCAAACTCTTTCTCCGCATCGCCTGATTGAGGCCACGGCCACATGAGGTCAAAGAACATGTTGGCGTCCGTGTCCGTGACATCCGAGGCCAGGCGATCATCGAAGGTCTTCTTGACCAAGTCCGACTTCACACTCGCTGGGATCGCCAGTGACTTGCTGAGCGACTTGTACGCGTCAAGGATCTCGGTCTCGTTGGCAGTGAAAATCTGGTCCGTGTGGAGCAGGTGGGCGTGGTCGTACTTCACCATGTGCAGGCTGAGCTTGTTCCACTGGTCCTTGTCCTTGGTCTTCAGCTTCTTGAGCTCCTCGCGGGCGTGGTACGCCTGCACCCCGAGCTTGCCCTGGGTCATCACCTTGAGCAGCGGGAGCTTTGCAACCCAAAACTCCCCCTTGCCAAGCTTAGCGTCTGCTCCTCCACCGCACTGGCTAGCCGAGTCGGCAGCCACGACGGCGGCAGTCGCAGGAGGGGCCATCACGCCGAGGCCGCTGCCGGCCACGCTCCCAGGAGTCCTGGATGTCGATGGGCCTGCCAGTGGGAGCGTCGTGCCTGACAGCGAGCTGCCCATGCGCAGCCTGCGCTGCGGGCGCTGAGCGCAGACGTCGCGAATCGTCGTCGGGGGCGCGCTGGACTCCAGGTCGCCATCGTACGGCCCAGAAGGCCCGCCGCCAGCCTCCATCGGCGAATCCCCCAGGTCCATTGCTGAAGTCGGCGCGCAGCTCGGACTCGATAAGCTCGAGGTCCTGTTGGATTCGTAAGCCTGCTGCTGTCGAAGAATCTCAGGAGGCACTGCGAAGCCATACTCCTCGTGGGGCTTCAGCGAGGACATCAGCTTCAAAGCCCCCGTATGCTGCTGCTCGCCCATGCTCCACTCGAACACGCGCGCGGCCTGACTCGAGAACAGATGCGTGCCCTCGGTCATGTACATGGCGCGCCTCTCCGTGCTCACGATCATGGAGATAGAATAAGACCTCAAAAAAGCCCAAGTCGGGCTCCACTGGAAAAGGAACGTATCCTCAGGCCCCAGGTCCGACTCAGACCAAAGCTCAATCATGACGAGGCCCTTCTCCTTGATCGACTTCTTCGTCGGGACGTAGTTGAAGTACTGCTTGAGCTCATCTCTGTTCATGATCAGCGCCTTGCGCGTGACCTTGTGCTGGTGGACGCTGATGTGGCCGACGCTCTCCTTCTGGTAGTCATCTTTGCCGCCGCCGTTCTTCTTGCGCTGCCTGCCCTCGTGGAAGTCCTTCTTGAACTCTGGGTCGTTCGCAATGTTGGTCATCAAGTCGGGAATCGGGAGCCACGTCATCGCCTCCGTGTAGAAGGTGTCGCAGCAGGCGCAGAGGGAGTACAGCTCGTCCGCGTAGCGGTGCTTGACCATGCCCTTGGCCCCCCCCTAGGCGGGGCGAAAACCCCCCTCCCTACTCTTCCGTGGGGAAGAGGGAAGAGGGAGGAGGGAGGCGGGAGGAGGAGGAGGAGGAGGAGGAGGAGGAGGAGGGGGGGGAGGAGGAGGAGGAGGAGGAGGAGGAGGAGGAGGAGGAGGAGGAGTTCGTCTTGCCCCCAATCGAAACTTGTTTTGCAACCCAAGGCCCAAGACGCCAATCTGGAATACTGGTTTAGGCTTCCGCTATGAAAACAACGGGAAAGCATGGTTTACGATCGAGGCTGTGGCAACGGGACTGAACACCTCCGCCTTTTACGAGGGGCCCGATGGCCCCAGGGCGAAATGATTTGGTGCACGGGCAAGGGGGGTTGGAGGGATGGGGGTCGGGGGCGAAGGTTCCCCCTCCTCCCCCCCCTCCTCCCTCCTCCTCCTCTCCTCCTCCTCCTCCTCCTCTCTCCCTCCGCCCTCCTCGTCCTCCTCCTCCCCCTCATCCCTCATCCCTTCTCCCTCCTCCATCATCAATCCTCCCTGCTCCTCCTCCTCCTTATCCTCCTCCTCCTCCTTCTCCTTCTCCTCCTTCTCCGCCTCCTCCTCCTCCTCCTCCTCCTCCTCTTCCTCCTCCTCACATTCGGCAGGCCAGTTGAAAACCCAGTGTTTGGCCCCCGATGCCTCGCCGCAGATGCAGCAGCAGCCAGCCTTGTTGCCCAACCTCCTCTTGGGAGCAGGAGGCTGCGCGTCGGCGAGCTGGCTGGCACGCTTGGACATAGCAACCAACGAACCACGGGCTGGTGGTGGTACGCCTGGCTGGCGCGGTCGGGCTGACCGTTCCCGAAGCTGTGGACGGTGAGTCGCAAGCCCTGAAAAGCTCTTGAGCCACGAATGCGACGGTTCAAACTTGCCCCAGGCTGGCCACACCGAAATGGCACCCGAGGATACCCGAAGGCCGAGCCAACCCAACGGGGCTCTCAGGAAGCGCCCAGAAACTTTGCCATCCTGGAAAACTCGGGAGCCCTCCTGTAAACCCCTTGGGGACACCCTGGGACACCCCCACCCGACGCCTCAGCCCCATGGATAAGGGGGCACCGAGGAGCCTTCAGAACAAAACGAAGAAGCCGAACACAACTGGAAGGAGGGTGCCGCGGCATCTTGCCTCGCGGCTCTCCTGGGTTTCCTCTCGGGGCACAGTCAAGGCGGCGGAGGGGGAGGGGGGGGGGGCTCAATTGGTTTGAGATGCATCCCGATACTCTCCTTTGAGACTCTTTGGACGGCGAGACTCCTCCCGAGACTCTCCTTGGTGACTCTTTGGGCGGGGAGACTATGTTGGGGACTCTTTCGGGGCAGCGCATTTTGATTGATTTGGCCAGATATTATGTTGAGACTGTTTTGATACTGATTTGAGACTGTGTTGAGACTATTTTGTAATGTTTTCTTGCTGTGCGTATGGCGGAGACGTGGGAGACTGGTTTGAGACTGTTTTGGGACTGTTTTGAGACTGTTTTGAGACTGTTTTGGGTGGGGAGACTGTTTTGAGACTGTTTTGAGACTGTTTTGAGACTGTTTTGAGACTGTTGTGGGGGGTCGGCCCCCACCCACCAGATATCCCGAAACTGTCTCAAAACAGTCTCAAAACAGTCTCAAAACAGTCTCAAAACAGTCTCCCGCACCCCCCCCTCCCCAAACAGTCTCAAAACAATCTCGAAACAGTCTCAACCCAGTCCCGAAACAGTCTCTCGAGAGAGTCCCCAGTCGATTCAGCGACCCGCTCGCCCATCTCACAGAGTCTCTAAACAGTCTCAAAACAGTCTCAAAACAATATAACCCGAAAACAGCAAAATCCGATGGTAGCAAAAAAGTCTCTAGGTGTAGACTTTTCTGGGGCACCTATGCCGCACGAGTCTCACAGGGTAGACTTGTTGGGCACCCGCTGGCCCCGCTAGTTCTGCCATCGGGTCTCTGGGCCAAGCTCCGCACTGAAGGAGTACCCTCTCCCTATCGACGTCAGCCCGCCCTCCCGAACTAAGGTGCCCCTCCATGTCCACGCGGGGTGGGCCCTATGTTTTTTTTTTTTTTTTTGTGTGTTTTTTGGGGGTGGCTCAGAGCGCCCCGAGATGGCCTCAAGAGGTACTTCAAGATATGGGAAGGGTGAGGTTGGACGATAGTTTTGGAAGAGTGCACTGACCTCCAGTTCCGCGGCCTTCTTGGAGCTAGCTTGGGCTTCTCTTGGGCCCTGGGCCTATTCTCATCAAATATTCGTCGGAGGAAGGAGGAGGAGGGGGGGGGGGGGAGGAGGAGGAGGAGGGGGAGGAGGAGGACGACGAAAAGAAGGAGGAGGAAAAGGAGGAGGAGGAGGAGGAGGAGGAGGACGAGGAGGAGGAGGAGGAGGAGGAGGAGGAGGAGGAGAGGGAGGAGAGGGAGGAGGAGGAGGAAGAGAGGGAGGAGGAGGAGGAGGAGGAGGAGGATGCCCCCTCGCTTCTGTTTTTCTAACCAGCCAACCCCTCTGGCTCGTCGCCCTCGTCGAGACGGCAGCGGCGCTCCTTGCCCGAGAGTTCCTCGCCGCGAGGCAGGTCGCGCAGCACGCGCCTCGCGCGCTCACGACGCTCATGCGTCAGCATCATGAATGCTAATTTGTTTTTGTGGTCTGGCTTCGTGCCGCACACGGCTCCGAGATCCATCGCCCACGCAGCCAGCAGACCAAGAGGCCGACCTTGCGCAGCGGCCCCTTTGGCGCCGCTGCCCCAATTGACTGCAGACAGCGTGCACCTGCCATGCCCGCGAAGGCACTGGCACTCGAACCGACCGCGGTCGGGGCCCATGTGGGCCATGCTGTAGTACACGATCTTTCCAACACCGTCTGGCAGCTCAACTACGATCTCGGCTCCGTCCCCTGCCCTCCGAGAGCCCACGCTGCGCTCTGAAACGCTGGCGGGGGGAGGAGGCGCGGGCGGCGGCAATGCGAGGGCCTCGAGGGGAGGCATCGGAGGATCAGCGGGCGGCGGGCCCTCGCCTCCCTCGCTGCCGCCGCCGTCGCTGAAGAGCTCGTCCACCAGGTCGTGGCCCTCCTCTGCGGGTCGAGGGTGGGAAGGGCGAGGCAGATAGGCAGAGAAGTATAAGGAGGACCGCGCGCGGCCCACCAGACCAAAGGAACGGCCGCACGTCGGTTGCAGGACGTGGGCCAGAACAAATCTATCAGGATTGCAGGATACCCCAGGATGGCTCAACATGGCCTTATTGACCCCAGAGATGCGTTAATGGGGCCAAACGGCCCCCGTGATCGGAACCCGCTGTTGGTTTAAATATGCTGCACCCCCTGGCCAACTTGAGGCCATATCGGGCCCTCCCTGGGCGCTCTCGGGCACTCTCAGGAAATCCCTGGGCCCCCCCATCGAGGCGAAAGGGGGGGGGGGGTGCGGGGACAACGACGCAAGCGAGTGAGCGCAAGCGAAACAACAAGGCTCACGAGGTCAACACCCCTTTAGATAGCCCATCCTCGCCGACGCGCTCGCCCTCGCCCTCGAAGCCGCCGTCGCCCTCGCCGTCGGGGTCGGGCGGCTCGTCCTCCAGGGGCATGGGCGCCTCGCCCTCTGGGTCCGAAGCGACGCTCTCGGCGTCTTCTTCCAAGGCCAGACGATGCGCTCGCCTTGTCCGCCTCGGCGGCCAGACATCTGACTCGCCACCCATGGCGAGCACGACGACGTCGGCGGGGCGGAATCTGGCGATGGGCCGATCCGTCTCGTCGATGACCCAGTAGCCCAGCGCCCACTTGGACAGTAAGTCCAGCTTGGCGAAGGCCTGCCAGTCGACCAGGCTCTGGTCGCAAGCCTTCTGAGGAAAGTCAAAACGACTGCACCCTCCCCCTCGCCTCCTCCCCTCCCCTCCCCTTCCCCCCCGCCTCCCCCCTCCCATATCCCAACCTCCCCCGTCCCCCACCCAACCCGACCTTCTAGAGTCTAGAAGGACGGGCTGGGCGGGGGAGGGGGACAGAAGCGGGTCGACAAGACCAGCATGTTGCAAGTCATTGTCCTCTTCCTCCTCCTCCTCCTCCTCCTCCTCCCCCTCCTCCTCTTCCTCCGTCGTCGTCGTCCTCCTCCTCCTCCTCCTCCTCCTCCTCCTCCTCATCCCTCCCCCCCTCTCCATCGTTTGCCAATGCCTGGCGGCCTGGGCCCTTGTGGGCCCTGCGCCGCAAACCATGTTTTTTTTTTTTTTTTTTTTTTTTTTTTTTTTTTTTTTTTTTTTTTTTTTTTTTTTTTTTTTTTTTTTTTTTTTTTTTTTTTTTTTTTTTTTTGAAAGCCGACGTCACCCAAAACACTTGGGAACCAACTGCGACTGAACACTCAAACATAAAAAACCAACAACTCATCGGAGCATAAGCCAGGTTAAGTCGGCCTCCAAAGATACCTCGACCACCCCGTTGACCACGACCTCCGAGACGAAGCGCATCGGCCTGAAGACCGAGGAGTACGGGGAGAACTCGTGGGCCCCGATGTGCCACCACTCGTAGACGTCGATGCCCTCGGCGACGTCGCCGACCACGTTCGCCAACACGTGGTCCCACTCTGACTCCGCCGCCCGCCTGGTGCCGTGCAGCCGCACGACCAAGGAACCCTCCTCCAAGAGCAGCCGCTCAGCTGAGCCGCGGTTGCACATCCCCTTCAACTCGGTGTAGAACAGCCTGCGGAATCGGATGCACTCGGCACTCTCGGGGCAGCAAACACACATGCCAATCTGGGCGCACGTGACCTTCTTCCTCTGCGGGGGGATGTCGAGAGGGCGGCAATCTTCGTGGATGATCGCCTTGCGCCGTTCCATCCAATCGTTCACAAGGCACTTCTTGAGGTTATTACTTCTGGAAGCAAGCCACGCTTCGCGAGCCAGCGAAGCAGTTGACGTAGTCGGGTGCTTGAACTCAGCCATCGTGCCGATGGGCGAAGGCATGGCGGTCAGCACCGCCGCGAAATCCGACACCCCCTTGAACATGTTGCACGACAGCGTCCAGCTCG